ACCCTCAATCCACTTACGTGGTTGGTGAAAAGTGACACAACAAGACATACAGCCTGCACCTGACTGGTAAACTGTGGTCTGTATTTCTCATTTCCTGAGGGATTACCAAGTCTGCTTTTCGTTTTCATTGTCTTTACCTTCGTCCAAACGGTGGAAGTCGACTTCTTTTACTGTTTGCCTTTACATGTATTCAGTTGTCATGACATCACGAATGTCATCTCTTTTTTTCCATGGCAATGGCTGAACTTCACATAGGGAGGGGTCAGAGGCTGAGAAAACAAATTTTTAGAGGGAGACTGTGTGAGCTGGAAAAGTGTGCATGAAGATGAACACTTGCATAGTCCAGCTTTGAGAGTGGAAGTGGTAAGTTCTTTCATCCTGGTTGTTTCCGTAGGTGGACTTACAAAGACTTAGTTGGTCTTCTGACTTGCCAGCCTACTCCCTGTCCATTAGACCATGAGGACTGAACATCCTGCTTGAACCAAGTGATGGAACAGCTTAATATTGCTTATTATACTCAACAGGAATTGTACCTTAATCTAAGGCAGGGTACTAATTGTCATGGAATTGTACCCCAGAAGGCTATGAAAAGGCATTTGTGCTAGTTTTGCACTGACAGTCCTGTTCAAATGTATATAGTCCAAAGAACTGGGTACTTCTGGACATCAGGCACAGGCCATAAACCATGATCAATTAATTACAGCTGATGCTAACCAAAGGTTTCTTAGAGACTGTGGCTGCTCTACCAGCAGTTGGTACCATTTTGCTCTTTAACTAGACTGAAGGCAAAAAAGTTAAAAGATGTGTCCTGAGCTTTACTGTGATTGTTCTTCATTCATTATTTTTTTCTTTTGATTTAGGTTAGACTATAGTTTAGACCCAAGAGCTTGTTTGACCCTGACAGCTAAAGTACAGAGGCAAAGGAAAGGTTGTTTGTTTTGATTGTGAAGAAGCAAGCTTTCATCCATTTGCTTAGAAGCCTATTATGTTGGGATTGGCAAGAAATCTACCCACAGCTTTCTGCATCAAGGTTTGACTCAACACTCAGAAGAGAAGTAAAAAACTGTCCTCTCAATGGAAGATGACAATGAACCTGAGCAAAGCTCCTGGGCCCATCTACCTGATGTCTGTCTGAGGCATGTCTTCCATTGGTTAGATGACAGGGACAGGTCTCGGGCTGCCTTGGTCTGTAAAAAATGGAGTTGTGCTATGTACTCTGGATCTCTCTGGAGATGCAGAACCATCACATTCTATGGCCAACCATCAAGGGCACGCACACTGGAATTTCAAAGTGCACTGTGGTATACCAAGAAATTTGGCAAGTATTTGAAGCACCTTGAGGTCAAGTTATCGAATCCTTACAATACTCCCTTTATCAAAAAATTTCAAGTGACTATGAAAGGTCTTCTTTCTCACCTGGGTAAGTGTAATAGTCACCTAGTATCCCTGAGCATCAAGTACCTGGAATTAGACTGCTTGATCTGGAAAAATGTGGTCAGGGCTCAGTTTATCAAGAACTTAGCTACCTTCCTGAAAAGAATGAGCAAACAGCTTGATTATCTCAACTTAAAAGGAGCAAGAATAACTTTGGAAGAAGGTTGTGAACTTCTGAATTCTCTGAGCAGCTTGACCAATAGAAGCTTTATATCTGAAATCAATATTGAGGATTTCTTCAGTCTCCACCTTTCTGTCTACAGCAGTGCTTTGTTCCACCAAACTATGTCTAAGTTCCACAGCCTGACCATCCTGACTTTCAACTATAACTGCATCTCTGATGAACTGCTGGACATCCTGCGGGAGCACAGCTCTCATTCCCTGTGCACCTTGAATATCAAGTGTCATATCCATGATCCTCATGGACAAGTGGTCTCGGGAATGTCATGGGCAAACTTGGCCAAGAAAGCCCCAAAACTGAATGTGAACTTCTTCTTTGAAAGAGTCATGAAGCATGACCACCTAGCCAGGATCCTGCTAGTGGAGATCCCAGTTAGGAGCATCAGCCTACGGAGCTGCTATTTCAGTGACCCAGACTGGACAATGAGACCTACCCTCACTAACCTTCTCCCAGCCTACTGGCATGGTCTGCAGGTAAGGGAAACAGTAGTAACATCTTACTGCAGTATCATAAAGCTAAGCAAAGTAATCGTTTAGGCCTTCTGCATAACAGTAGTCAGCAATAGAACTTCCTGACCACTTCAGTTTCATGTTCAGAGGGTGGTTTTCATAAGTAAGTCATTTCAGTGTTCGGCTGTAGTGTAGTTCATGAAATTATCCTTGTCCAGTTACAATCCCCATTATACTATCAGGCTGCTCCATTTTAGCAATGCACAAATGTCCTACAGTACGTATAAATTAACTAGTGCCCACATCAAAGCACTTTGGTGTCACTGGGGCTGTTTCACCAAAGGTGTGCTACACCTGACCCATGTAAATGAGCATCAGGTTTTTGCATGCCTGAGGGAAGCATGTGGCCTTACACCTAGTGGTTGCTGTCAGCTTTCTTTAAGCCCTGTTGCATTGCAGAGTTTCTAGTGAACACCAGAGATCCACAAAGCTCTCTAGAAACTGTCTTTGGCTCTATTCACATATCTAGGATAATTTCTAATATGTCAAATTAAGATCATGGCCTGACTGTGGGTGTAGCATTTTCTGATGAATGCACAAGGGATCACCCCATCTTAACGGGAGAGTGAAGCTTACTGTAGGACATGTACTGTTGTCATAATGCAAAACAGATTCTCTGCTAATGTCAGGGTACAAAATTGATCTGCTAACACTTTTGTTGGTTAAATTGGAAAACTATTTGTTGAATTCTAATTACTGTACTCACAAGCTCTGTTTAGTAGTACTAACAGTGTTCATTCTTTTTCAAGAAATTAACACTTGAATTAAACAATGACCATGAGTTGCTGGACAATGAGCTGCTACAGCTTATCTTATCATGCAAGAGGCTGTTATTTCTGAAAGTCTGGGCATTTCTAAGTGTCAGTTTTATGGAGAGGCTGCTACAAAACCGTGCAGAAAGGAAATGCATTTTGACTACCATAAAGGTAAGACTTTGTGCTTCAAAACTCCCCTTCTCTTCTTCTCTCCAATACCCAGAGACGGGTTAAGTCCCCATGCCCATAGAAAGGTCACTTACAGAAATGTTAACATTACTACCTTCCCTATACATTATAATAAGCCTGGGAAGCACTCACAGAAATGGGACTTTCCAACCTACTTAGCCATGTACAGATACTATAAAAGTTTAATATGAATCCCAATGATTTTGCAAGTCCTTCCTGGACTGGCATTCCCTCTGTCACCTATAGTTCAAGCCCCCTCCCACTTCTAGGGATTCTCAGCCACCTCTCAGGCTCAGTGCTTATGTCTATGCTTAAACTGAGGCAGGTGGGTTGAATCCCACTAAACTGCAAAAAAATATAAACGCAGCTCACTCTTCAGGAATTGTGTGTTGAACTGGGGCCACACAACTATAGCTGGTGTAAACCATGCTGACGTGCGACTTTGCATGCTCCATTCTGGATTCAGTAGATCCTCACAGATCAGTGCAAATTCCAGGAATGCATCAGTTCTGGGGGTAAAAGGAACCTTGCTCTTCCAGTGTGAGTTGACACAGGCTGGAACAACCAAAAACTCATAGCTAGAACACAAATAGTAAATTTATTTTCCTTCCCTCACGAACCAAGGAATTCCCAAAACAACTGCTGGGCAGAGGCATGCAAGTGGGGACACAGGCATAGTTAAACTCAGTCCCTGCCAGAGGCCACTGGCTGCTGTTCACACTGGGTTATCAAGGGCTATTTCCAGCTGCAGTTGAGCTATTTACAATCCTCCTCGCCAGTCTTCCACTTTTAAACCCATTCCTCCCAACACCTCCCAAAAATTCTTTGGCAGGAGATGATGTTTTCAGTCAGTTTGGAGTGAGAAGAGAATAAACCCTTAAGATTCTACTCAAACCCAAGGAATTTGGCTTCTTTACATTCCTGATAAGTCACCGAGGCTGCTTCTTGTGAGCTTTAATGGGCTGAGCTCCACATATCTGTGAATCACAACTGTTGTTTGTGCATACAGGTCAGGATTTACACAGCTCAAGATGACAGCACTGAGGAGGAGCGGCTGTTGGCTGATATTTACAGGAAGTTCAAATACCTGATTGACTCAGAACTTAATTATTTTGTCATCACCTACCCAATGGTGTAAACCACAGGAAGAGAAGAACACCCAGTGACGTTTGCATTAGCGGATCCTTCGGAAGGTTTTAGTAGGAGATTTGTATTTTCACAGCAATGCCTCTGAAAGGGAGATACCATTACAGCAAGAGAGAGAGGCAAGGGACAATTTTACACTCCATGCATTAAAATGTTGGACTTGGGAACTGGCCTCCTGTGTCTCCAGCATCATTTATTCTTGCCCTTCTTTGTTTTTCCTTGCCAGAACCAAAGGAAGCAGTGAACCCTCTTCCATCTTTAACGGCATCTCTGGTAAAAATAATGTCCTCCTCTTTTTTCAGCACTTCTCATTGTAGAGCTTCAAACAGTTTACCATTGAAGCATCTTATCATTTCCATTTTATGAATAAGGAAACTGAGACATGAGAAGAGGAAGTGATTTACCCAAAGTCAGCCTTGATCTTGATTCAGATGCAGTCAGATGCATTACCTATTGTATCAGCCTACCTCCTGTTAAGTTTGGCATACTGCCTAGTTCTTAGCAGCAGATAATAAGAATAAAGCATACAATGGCTAATCCTGAGATTCACCCCTCCCACTTGCCCAGCTTTCCAACAAATGACTTACGAGGAGACTCCTGCTCTAGCTTCCACAGAGCCACCTTTTGCCACCCTTCAATGGCAAAAGATACCAAACCAAAAAGACTGGTTACACATGAGAGAAGTAACACGGAAGAAGGGGCATTTCTTATTATTCTGGAATTTTATTGCCAAGTGGAAAATTTCATCAGATATTTTAGAGCACGGATAGCTGTGAAACAGACAGCTGTAAGTACCAGGTCTGTTTTAATTATCTTCCACAACTAGAACCAGGACAACATTGAGCCAAATGAATAAATTTGGAAGTTTGTAAATGAAATTTCATCAGGCGTTGGTTCTTTGGAGCACAATTTTCCAGTGTGATGGCTTCAGAAGTTGTTTATGTAAACAGACTCCCTCATTTGCATGCACAGCACTTCATCAATATACAGTGTATTCTCCTTGACCTTGATCTCTTCCTCCAAGGAAAGCTGTCGGCGGCTCAGACCTTTCAGCTCTGTCTCAGCCTGTGCCAGTGCATCCTTTAATCTATTAGGGAAAATACAGGCAGGCATTAGTTGAAAACACATGGATAGGGTTTTTTTTTCTCATGTGGGTTTAAGAATTCTGAGTGAGAAAAAGAAAGATGGGAAGGGATTCACAGAGACAATATCCATGCAGCTTCCCTGAAGACTCCTGCCATTAAGAGAAAAGCAGTTCCCAGCCTTTCAGGGAGAATAGGTGGGACCCACTGTTAGTCTGATGTATTCAATTAACCACAGATTTTCTTCTTTCATCATTTCCACTTGCCTTTGAATATTTTTGGTAATCTCTTGAACTTCACTCATCAGGCTGCATTGCACTCTGTCATAACACAGTTCCACATTGGGGCGATGGCTTCTCGCTTCCAAGCGACTTTGAGCCACTTTAGCAGGTCCTTCTTTATCAGCAATTGCTTTCTTTAAGGCTGCAATGTTCTTCTCCTGGGAGGCAGTCTCATCCATCACCTTAAGAAATCCAACAGAAGGAAGTGTTGCACACTGTCTCTTACAATGGGTAAAATAATCATCATCTTTAATACTTATACCAAGAACAGTAACACTCATTATATTGTTGTTTTATCAAAGGATACTTTGCAAAAGTTAGCCAGAATTATGATTCCTTCATTGGAAAGTAGATGATACTGTTCTGCATGAACCCAGAAATTTATGCTCAGCAATAATTTTTAACATTAACACTCACTTTTTATATGTCAAATTTTGAGCACATTGGCCCTGATTTTATCAGTTATATTACAATCCTGAAAGTTTTATTGGAGTCCCAGGTAATTAAAATCTCAAGGGAAATCCTGACTTAGAGCAGAAATTCATCTCTGTGGTGGTGCACATAGAGATGAGAAAACAAGAATCTAAGATGACTTTATGGAGGAGGGGGAAGGAAAAGAAAAATAAGTTGTGGCAAATCAGTGCAAGCCACTAGATTGAGAAAACTGGTAGATAACCCAAGACCAGTGTTTCCCCTTTTTTACTGGCTGTCCATTCAAATGACTTACCATTGCAAGAAGTGTCTCTAGCTTGTGCTTGGCATCCTTGACTTCCCTCACCCTATTTCTGAAAGCAACATTCACCATCTCACAGTGCTTGCGCATGTCATTTGCTGTCTGTGACAGGATGCCATCAATAAGTGCCCTCAGTGCCAAAGAATTGTTTCTCTGCTTGTCAGCCTTTTCAACATTTATGTTTGAGAAATCTACCCAGTCTTTAGGGCTAACAAAACTGAAAGAGATTAAAGATAAAAGATCACCCACTGGCAGCTCCTCTATGACTTCATAAATCTGTAATTATGCCACAAAACCAAGAACGAAACAGTACTATTAACTGCATGTCCCGGTGAGTGCCAGTTGTGCTGGGAATTCTACAGATACAAAATAAAGACCCTTCTTGTCACAAACATTTCATAATTAAGTAGACGAGAATAGAATGAAAACTAATTTGCTAAAGTCATTGAGCAACTTTGTTATAACTTTCCTTTCCCCTGATGAGGGATTAAGTTATTAAGGGGGGAAACACAGAAAATAACCACTATTTCTTAGAACACCTTTCATTAGTATGGCTGTTAATGTTAATAGCAGGTAGATATTCAAAGTCACTTATTTTCTCACACAGTGTACCTATAAGACGGTACCTGACTGAAGCAATAGTTAGGAAGCCCAGCCCCAACTCTATCCCCAGAACTAAAGGGCCATCCTTGTGCAGCTGTGGCTTGCAAGCAGGTTTTCATAGAGTTCCTTGGAGGGTTTGTTCCTTATTTCATTAGGTGGATATATAAAGCTGTAACCGTCATTTGCATATAGCAGCTAACACCACTGGTGTGGTCTGAGCTATACAACTGTCTCACACACACTGCTCTCTTAGTGCAGTTCCTCTTTTCAACCCATTTTTCTGTGGTGGCTATTTTTCCATCTAAACCATTCACATTGACTAAGCCATGCAGAAGGGGCACATTTGACAGGTTAATGACTGAGTCAGAAATTGACTCCACACCTCACGTGTTCCAGTCCAGTGTTCGCCCCACTAGGACACCCTGGGAGAGGAAAGGAAGTTAGATTAGTAAATCTCTTCTGGGTTTAAGCAATGTGTGAAATTCTTCCTTAGGTAATTGTGAGCCTTAAAAACTTTTAGTAAACGGCACTTCACTGGAAGCATAATTACTGTGGCTTATTTCACAGATATATTACACAGATACAAAAGTGATGGACAGAAGTATAAAAAATAATTATAACAGCTGGTGGACAGATAAAGTCTTTTTACACAAAATTAATCTTGCTATTACTGGAACAGCTCATATTATCTGTATAATTATCATATGTTGGTTGAACTAAAGAACTACTTACTTTCCTTCTATTTTCAATGCATTATCAGCATACATCATATCAGGAGTGTCATTTGTCAAGCGAGCACAGTAATCATCAATCATCAGAGCTGTAAACTTGTCCTTCAGATCCATTTCTAGGTTGTATTTTGCTGAACGGTTTTGTCTAGGAGGAGAAACAACCAGACTCTAAGCCAAAGTATGAGTACTTCCAAGTGTCCTTAACATGCATCCATACATGCATGAGGTAATTCAAATGCGTTTATTGAAATCTTCATGGATGAACTGTTAGATGCGGAGTCCCAAAATCTACAGTATGAAGCTGCCTCCCTATAAATTGATGGTACAATTCTCATTGGAATGAAAGGCACAGCACTAGATCATGAGAAGACCAAGGATCACATGCAAGTACTTTGAGTTCTAACAAACAGAACCTCTCACCATTGCTGATTGACTGCTATGAATTAGGACTGACCTCCTGCAACTGTTTAGCATTGAAGGTAACTTTGGACTTGTGCTCAGCCTGACCCTACAACTTCATAGGATTATGACTGTCTTACTTATCACTAATCAGTGTTCTGTTATGCTCTTTGCCTCTGCACCTGATTTGCTCATTGGTTTGTTCCAGTGTATGTCCCAGCAAAGCAATAATCCCCTGGAGGACTTCAGCTTCCTTCTCCAGTTCCTGTTCCACTTCATCATGCACCAAGTCAATTCCAACTCGCCTCTGCCTAAATGAAAAGAGTAAAAGCTATCAGCCATACTGGTCAAATGCCTGCAGCTAACAGATGATGAAGCCCAGCTTTACAAATCAAAGGTTTTTCTTTGCCACATGGGAAGACATGCCATGTCTTAATGGTTTTGATTCCCCATTGTTTTAACACCTAAATCAGACCATGACTTTACTGCAAAGAGAGACAGGCCCTTAGTTTGTATCCTTTTTTTCATTATTTGTTAAAGGTTTATTACCTAGATTTTTTTTTTCTCTCCTTGAATGCTTTTCTTCTTAATCATCTTACCTGTACAGGAGACACTTTTGGGCAATGACAAGTGGCTCTTTGCAGCTCTCCAAAGCTCTCTCCAGCCGATTCTTGGAAGTCAACAGTACCTCTGTCTCATGAACAATTTGTTCTAGCTTGTTATCTAGTTCTTGCTTCCAGAACTTTATTTCTTCCCGTCTCTGTTCTGTAGAATTGAAATTGCAAACATGTATTAATATAAGTCCATCTTATATGCCAGAGGACTGTAGCTCAGATCTTAGATATGGTTAAAAATAGACATTCCACAATGGAGTGCATATAGTCCTGTGAGCTGCTGTGTGGAAACAGTTTTGCAACTCTGCATCAGGAGGCTTTTGTTATAAAGAATCTGCCTCAAGATATTTTTTAAAATATTTTTAATTTTTCCATGAGATCAGCAAGCATGACATTGACATATATTCCTACTCATTATCAGCTAATTTTCTAAGTCCATCTTAAACCTATAGCTCAAATAGCACAACTTGACCCTTGCAGAACACATGGGATTACCTATTTTCTTGTTGACATCACTTTGGGTTTTCTGCGTTGTCTTTTCTATTTCATCCACCAGCCGCCAACTCTCAGCTATCATGCACTCCGACCTGGACTTCTGGGACTCTGTACTGACACGCTGCATCATGTTTGCAGTAGCCCATTCTGAGGGATGGAACTTAGATGGATCTTGCAGCAGTCTGGCCATTGTTATTTGGAAAGTTTCTGGATATAATGCAGGTCAGTTCTTGGAATGTGGAATCTGAAAACAGCAATAGCATTATATTTGGCTGCAGTAGCAAGAAGAGGAGAAGATAGGTCCATCAGGATGAGAAACATTCTTTTCTATGCAAAATGACACAGATATAAAAAGAATAGATTTCTTGCTCAAGGCTCCCCCAAGGCTTTACTGACGTGTAGGCAAAAGAGTTTGGAGTGGAAGAATGAAGAAACAGAAGAATTTGTGAATGGAAACTAGGAGCCAAGAAGTGGAACTGAGAGGAAAAGATGGACTGTCTGCAAGAGGAAGGAGAAGGGAAAGGAGACCTGTGAAAGAGGATGGAATTACTAAACAAGCAATCACAAAAAATAGAGAAAAAAGAAACAAATATAAAAAATAAATAGTCTCTCACAGGTTGGAGAAGTAAACACTTTTCAAGAATATGGCTGGAGAGGTGGATGAAATCTAGACTGTTAAAAGGAATGTAAGCAGAAAATCATTAAGGTTGGAAAAGACCTCTAAGGTCACGGAATCCACCTGTTAACCCAGCACCACCAAGTTCACCACTTAAACCACATCCCCAAGAGCCAAATCCACAGGCCTTTTGAACACATCCAGGGATGGTGATTCCAGCACTTCCCTGAGCAGCTTGTTCCAATGCTGGACGAGGTGATTTTTTTTCTAATGATGATTTGGGAGGGGCAGGGGAGAGAGTGTAAAAAACAGGACCTGAAATGCTGAAGGAGGAAATCCAGCAGGCAAATGAGGAAATGGAAAAGCCCAGAAATAGCTAAAGTAGAACAAAGAACAAACCATACCGGGAACACTTGTTTAATGTAGGGTGAAACCAATGCCCTGAATTTATGCAAAACAGTTTGATTATCAATTTTCTTATTCTTGCACCGTGCCTATCCACTGTTCCTGGGACTGCTCCTCACTGCAAATGCACACAGCTACTCCTCAGCAACAGACAGTTTTGCCCACCCTCCAGCACAGGTACCTTTCAAACAACCCCTTTCTCCTTCACAGAGCTCTTGACTGATTCTGCTCTCAAGTCCAAACCCTGGCCAAGTGCCACATCTTCAGTTCACTGGATGGAGTCTTCCAGCCTCAATCTCCTCAGCAGCAGCACATTTTCTTTTTAAATGTGTGACTGAATATTGCAGGAGGTTGCTCCACCAACCCAGAAGGTAAACAAATGCTTCTGTGGGAACTACACCCGCCCTGCTCCCAGGCTGCAGCACTGGCCAGAGGGGACACAGCACACACAACCCATTGGCGCTTCACCTACTCCCTGTTAAGATCTGTCGGGGAAAAAACCCCTGTTCTCTGTACATTACTTTGAGATAGGTCCCAGACTGCGGGCAGTAATTTTGGATTGTTTTATAGCAGAAATGCATAAAGATTGTAAAAGCAAATGAGAGGTGTGTTAAATGTCTAGCTATCTACAATGTCAGTCATAAAATATTCTTAGTAGTATGCTCCATCTTTGTGGCAACTATATTCCTGCCTAGGAGAAAAAATACTGGGAGTCAGACAGAAGAGATGAAAGGAGATAAAGAGCATGACATCAGATTGTGCAGTTATATCCCCTTCGTGTAGCTGTGCTGGAGTTTAGATGAGAGCAGGGCTTCTCAGCGTGAAACCCGAAAAGATGCAAAGAGGTCACACAATGATAGAGAAGCAAGTAGCACTGGTCAAGGGAAGTTGAGATGGTCCAAGACATAAAAGTGGGAAGCAACTGCAATTGTTGGCTGCAAATAGAGTGCAGTGACAGCTGGAAGGCTGCTAATTATCTTTCTTGTATTTCAAAGAGTGATCATTAAAACTGGTAACTCTGGTGCCTTTCACACCACCTGACATGTAAACAGAAATCTGCATGTATTCCAGGGACTGAAAAGGACGTTCAGCTGAAGAAACACTGTCTTACAGAAAAAAGGCAGGTATTTCAAAGTTAGTAAAATGAAAATACAGGCTTCAGAATATAGGGTTAACTTCAGAACTGAAGAAATTAGCCTGAGAGAAGGACTTAAGAGATTAAGGAAGGAACAGAGAACGGGGTGCAAAATCAGCAAGCAAAATGACCAATATATGCTAGCTGATGCAGGAGGATGGAAAGCTGTGCTTATAGACACAGCATGCTCCTGATTCATGAGGAAAAGCAAAACTATGACGAGGCTGAACAGTAATTAGAATCAATTACAAAGGCCACAATTGAGGCAGACCTGTAAATCAATTTATATGGCACTGCACATGTGAAGTCTTCAACTATTTGTACAAAAGGCTAATGCTTCTATGGGCTGTTTGATTTGTACATTCAGAATCAATGGATGATTTTGGTCAAGATCTTTTTTCCTCCTAATGAATTTTTTAACAGATTATTTAGAGAACATATTAAAATGTGTTAGTAGAAAGCAGTAATTTATATTAATAGCTGGAGCAGGAACTGGAGCCCTTTTCATAATAACTGAAAAATTTTCAAAGACTTCAGTACATCTGAACTCAAAGCTACTTTGAACACAGGTTTACTTTGGCTCGCCTGAGTCACAGAGGATGGATGAGGCTGCATATCAGTCATCTTCCACAAAATGTTATCATCTGTGTTCCCAGTAACACTCCAAAGCTTTTAGAAATACTAGCAAATTCAAGAGGGATGACTGATTCAGAATGAACTGAAATGCTAAGATATCTGAATGGCAATTGAGAATAATGAATGTCACAGTTCTGGTAACGAGCTCAGTGACCTCGAAAGCTGTGGAACCCCCAAGAGATGGTTCTCCACATTACTGTGACTCTGGTGGGACTTCATGATGTTTTGTTCTGAAAACCTAGTATCTGATGTTGTCCTGCCCCAGTTTGTAGCAGCAAAGGAATTAAAGTAACCAACCCTAAACTACCTGAGATTACCTCAGTTGGTTGGAGCACTGTGCTAATAACACCAAGGTTGTGGGCTTGATCCCTGTACAGGCCATTTACTTAAAAAGTTAGACTTGATGATTAATGTGAGTCCCTTCCAACTCAGAATATACCGATTCTATAATTCTGTAAAGCTATTCTTCATTGTCAGCTACCGTAAAGGATTATTTCAATTGTTAATGTAAAACTTACATTATTATTTCCTTTTCAACTGTTAATACGAAACTTACAACTGATTTTGCGATATGAATTATATGACATAAGAAAACTCTAATTTTACCTCAGATGGTTTTCGGGGTTTAAGTCACCGTTGACATCGAAAACCTCCACCGACCTTACAGGGGGAGAAAAAAACGGCCCCGTGGCCGCCCGGGCTGCGCGAACGGACAGTACCGACCTCCCCCTCGCCGCGAGCCGGCCCCGCCCCCGCCGCGAGCCGGCCCCGCCCCCGCCGAGAGCCGGCCCCGCCCCCGCCGAGAGCCGGCCCCGCCCCCGCCGAGAGCCGGCCCCGCCCCCGCCGAGAGCCGGCCCCGCCCCCGCCGAGAGCCGGCCCCCTGTGAACACAGGCTGAGAAAGCCGGGGCTGTTGGGCCTGGAGAAGGCTCAGGGGAGAGCTTTCTGCAGCCGTTCAGTACCTACAGGGGACTTATAAGAAAGATGGGGACAAACTCTTCAGGAGGGCCTGTAGCAACAGGACAAAGGTTAAGGGTTTAAAACTAAAAGAGGGTTGATTTAGACTAGTTATAAGGAAGAATTTTTTTACAATGACAGGTGGCAAAACACTGACACGAGTGGTCCAGAGAGGTGGTGGCTGCCCCATCCCTGGAAACATTCAAAGTCAGTTTGGATGGGGCTCTGAGCAACATGATCAAGCTGAAGGTTATAGAATCATAGCATGGTTTGGATTGGATGTCCCTGCTTATTGGAGAGGGGGGGCTTTGACTAGGTGACCACCACAGTGATCAGTTCCTTCTAGCCCAAACTATTCTATGATCCTAAGTTAACTCCACTGAGGCTTTATCTAGACACAAAGTTATTTTAACGTAACTGAAAGTGGCTTTAAAGTGCACCTTATGCAAAGCAATTCCATCTTTCATTCTGGACACTTGTGAGTATCCCTGTAAGCCAGGCCAGGTTTAAATTAATGACCCAGGTTGAACCTTGTAGGCTAGTTTTAGAACTAATTACATGTATGCAAGAGTTTGAACATATGTTTAAACACTTTATTGCAAGTGTCACACAAAGGGAGAAGTGATAAAAGGCATCTATCCAATTATTATACTTTCAAAGAGGAGGACCTTCCTGCTGTGGGAAGCTGTACACAAACATAATCTTAAAAAGTAGATGATGCCTCTGCTGCCATTACCTTGAAAATACTGTACAGAACAAACTAATCTAGCCTTTAAAAGCAGAATCAAGTTGCCAATAAACAACCTTAGACACTTTTAGATACAGTGCAGAAACACTAGAAAAGCTAAGAAATGGTCCATTTGTGTAAAATATATACTATGCCAACTTGATATAGTGTTCTCTTTATTACTCATGCTAAACACACTTACTGTCATATGTACATACATGCTCTCTGCATTTTTTAAAATAATAAAGATACTGAAAATCCATTGGGGCACACATTATATACTTTAATTTCAATTTAATCATACAATCAAGTAGTCGAGGTTATTCATATAAATCAGATCTCTCAATGCACAAAGCTGTAAGTTTTTCTAAAATTGTGTCATAGCACTATCTATCTCATCTTCTTACACATGAAACACCAACAGTTAAATTCAGCTTACAGTTTTCCAGTTTCCTGCAATCAGTTTGCTGGCAAGTACCAGGTATCTTTACCATCCCCTCTTTGAAGTGGGAAGACTTTAGAAAACCTGTACAAAGACCTTCTGGGTAGCTGTGAAAAAAAGTTAAATTACAGAAAGGGTGTAAATTCACCCTGGTGAATTGGCAATAATTTTACTGTCTAAAACTTCCTTCATCTAATTACATGCTACTAGGCCTAAATTGCCCAAGCACTTACCTGTGACTTTAGCACTCATATTGCATAGTAAAATCATCCATGCCTTGGGACTGTGAAAAAATGCGACGTATAAAGCCAGTATTGCTCCTCTTGTGGTAGCTATGATGGAATTTGGCTCTGCTAGTCAATAAAAAGTATTCTGCTGTGAGAATGTAAATAGGTGTATTGCATGTGACAGCCATGGACAGATTTCTCATCATGCTTAATCCAAACTTCTCCAAACCATAAGTACAGTGTGTTTCTCCTTACAGGGCATTTGGTAGAGTTCCAGGCGCACACTTACTCCTCAGAATTATGGCTGTTCAAGACAAAGTAATAACCTGAAGACAATGGCAGTTACATGACTAATATGAACAGCCCACCGTATCTCTGTCCACTTGCATGAAAGCTGTGAGATTAACAGTACCAAGGATCCTGCTAATTTGATTAAGTATCTTTCAGCTCCTTATATTATTATATGTATTTAAAAGTCTCTCAAACAGTTTCCATAGTGTCACAGCAACAGCATAACTACACTATAAACAGAACCTGATGATACACGCCTAGAGCAGATAACTTATACTTAGTACACTTTTGGTGGTTTTGTTGTTGTTTCCTGAGACTGCTAATAAAATGGTTGCTTCATTCATGGTTTCTGAAGAAAACTTGACTAGAAAGGGAGACTGAACTAAAATCATATTCCAAATGCAACTGAACTTCTGTACTTCTTAAAACTGAAATTCAGAGCGTAGAACATCATGAATAGAACTAAAATCTTCTAAGCAAAAGCTCTGTGTAGTTTTCACTGATTTGACTTGGTTATCTGTCACTTCATTCTAGAGAGGTGCAATAAATCTGAAGAGGGCTTGACATATTTTATTGTAAATGGTCATCAATACAGAACCAAAGTAATCTTGATAAACGTCTACAAAAAGCACAAGTGCAGGTTAAAAAAACATTCTCTAGCATGAGCAGAGGGCTTCTGGCTTTCAGTTTTTACTTTTTATGAGCCTGTTCTTAGGGAAGAAATAATTTTAAAAGGCATTTTTAAAGTATGTTTTCTTAGTGGTTTAGACTTTAACATTCACTGTGAAAACAAGGTTCTGTTGCTTTATCAAAAAGAAAGCCAGAAAGAGTGACACATGATCCTTTTGTCTAGTAAATCTGGAATAATCGAACTGTATTGTGATTTCAATGTTAAATTTAACTGAAAACTGAAAGTAGTGCAAGGCATTTCAAGATACTGATATCTTTCATACTTTTGTGGTGTATTGTCTGTCTACCTCTGGGTCAGCATGAGGACCAGACAAGTTGTAGAGAATTCACTCCCATCCACCCTGGAGGGCTGCTTTCCTACAGAGTCCCTGTCTAAGCACATTACAGCCTTATTTCTATTACAACTGTTCAGAGAGGTTTGTACCTTGCCGGCTCCCACCTGTCTTCTAATCATAGATTATGCAAGCACACAATCTCATATACAGAACAGCTGTTGCCATACTTCATGATTAAGAAATTAATCCAAGAATGCCAGTAGAGGCTTTAACATGTCTCTCAGCAAATAATTTTAGATGTGAGCATTACAGACAAACGCTGGTGTGCAACTTAGTAGTTATTTGTCACCACAGGCATCAGACCAGGGGTTTTGTTTTCTTTATGTTTTAAGAGAACAAAACAATGCCTGTTTGATCTGAGTGTGTGTATGTGTGCTGGGGCAGAGGGGCAGGCTTGCAGGAGAGACAATATTGCCCTACTGGTTGAGTACTCTAGGTTATTATTTACTAAACAGAATATTCCTTGTCCATCTGCTATTTCTTTTGTCCCATGCCCAACAGAGAAATGGAAGTGAAGGTGCTATCTTCTGGAGTTTTACCTGCATTTTAAGAGGGAACACCTTCATAACAGAGTTACTTGTCACTGCATAAAACTGTGTTCCCAGCCTTACAGAGATAAGAGCAGCAAATCAGCTTCCTGTGATCTTTATTCATAAAAATATCAAAAATCCAACCTACTATAGCACCAAAATGACAGCATTTGCCTTTGCCTATGTTCTTTTGTCTTTTTCAAACCTATTTCCATACATGGTGATGTGATCAACACTTCAGGGCACTGCTCAGCAACACTTCAGTCAGCCAGCCACACAACTGAATGTAAGCAAAGGGACAGTAACAAGCAAGAAATACCACTGTGCTCCATTTGCAAAATGTCATTCTTCCCATTAGCATACTGTACTTGACCCTTCTAGCTGGAGAGGTGTCGATGGTTTTATTCAAAATGTCGTAGGTGGCTGTAGAGAGACTGGACATAGGTGAAGACACACATTGGGTCTGGCTTGTGACCCATCATCAGCATGTCATCCACTTCTATCAGACGGTCACAGTGAGCCATTTTCCTGTAGTAATAATAAACCAGATACAGCATATCAAGAGTTAAATATGAGGCCTGCAGCTGATTCCAAGATTCATTTGCTGCTCTGATTTAAGCATCACTGAAACATTTACAAAATCCTGAGGTTTGTCAGCAGTCTTCCATTTCACAATGAAACGAGAAAGGTCAGGTTGGAGACACTGTTATTTTTGTGAGCATGCGATATTCCTGTTTTTTCCCCTCCCATCCTCTATACTGGGATCTGATCCGAAGTCCCTCTACAGGTTGTTTGTTTTTTTTTTTCACTGACTACCATTCACATTCCTGATATCTCTACCATGTAGCCCAATTTCACATTAGTCTGCCCATCTCTCAGCTTCTGGTTAATATATAGGAAGTTCCAAAAGAATAGAAAAACAGAGGAAGAGATGAGATATGCTAGTGAAGGCCCATGTGGCTGTGAATTGTTTGTCCTCTACCACCTCTATATCTTAAAGATGTGAGTGACTAGGACATCAGTCTCAGATGCTTAGGTTGGAGAGCAGAAGCCTGACTGAATCTGAACCAGCAGAAAGGAACAGATTTAGACCTGCAAAGGCCTAAATGAGAAATCACAAAGGCAGGAAGCAATCTGATCAGCAGAGCTCATACTGGGCTGAACAGCAATAACTGAGAGAATAGGCACCTGAAGAAAACAGTTTAAAGGCAATCACAGCTATGAATAGTAATTTCTGTAGATACTTCTTACCTAATGTTTCTTAGTGTTGTGTGCATGTTGTCTTCTGTTCTCCCTTATACTTACTGTCATACATATATTGAGGTAGAACACCACAGTTTTCCTTCAAGAGTTTTACTTTAGAGATCAATCACTTTCAGCTCACTGACAAGGAACAAATTTTTGTGATAAATATACATATATGTGTGCATACAAAAACCCTTGTAATTCCCTAATGAATTCCTTTGCTGAAGGCTGGAATAAATAGAAACATGATGCTAAGAATTTTGAAAGCTTTTTTTCTGAATGGCAAATAGCAAG